CGAAACTCTCCGCACCGAACTGTTTTCCGCCGCATTGCACATAAACACACCGCAACGCAGTGCTACCCGCCGCATCGCACATAAACTCACCGCAACGCAATGGTTACTGCATAGTAACCATCAGGACACCATCAGGACCGTTAGTTTTTTTTCAAAACCCTTAATAGGTACGTCCGACCCGGTGGTAGCAACCTAGACTGCCTGGCTGGTCTGAGATCACCATCAGGATAGTTAGATGGTCGCAGCTAGAAGAAAGCCTACAGCCTCGCTCGCCGATTGAACTAGGCGGGAGCCTAACAACCACCGTCGTGAAGTCTATGACATCTAGGAGGTGAAGCCACGTATACGCTAATGTCAGCATTAGATAGTGAAGAGCCGTCTGCGACTTGGGCATGTCCTCAGGAATAACAACCGGCGATCGAGACAGTCAGCCAGCCAGTCTAGGTTGCTGCTACCGGGGCAGAAGTACCTATTAAGGGTTTTGACTGGGCACGTCAGTCAATATCGTTATTGACTGCTTTTAATAGATAAAACCAGTCAATAAGGGTTTTGACTGAGGCCCTTAGGCAATATCGTTATTGACTGGTTTTTCCAGTCAATAACGTTATTGACTGGTTAAGGGTTTTGCCTGTAACATATATATCTTTATGCTAGATATTTAAATTAGAACACGGAAATAAGCTAAGCTGCATATAGACAGAGTCTTAGTGGAGATAATTTATGCATTTTCATGAGCACCGTTCTTTATTTGTTCCAGAACCATGACTCAATACATCATATCGAGTTTGATAGCTTTCATAAGCATATTCGACATGCACTCATCCATGCCCAGCGGCAGCGTCAACCAACCACTAAGTAAGTCCAAATCTATCAAAAGTTTAGGTCATTGTCATTATGAAGTACATTTTGGAGTTGTTTTAAAGAAGATTTAAAACCAATTTGAATAAACTATAGTACCTATCATACAATTTTTCAAAGTAATACATTGCATAAACCAAACCAAATCGTTGTTTAACATTTCGAAAGCTCTGACGTGTCAAAAACATCAAAAAATATCAAAAGGGGTTGAATTCACAACAGCCCAGCTAGGTACTTGGGAAAATAAATAAAGTATTTTTCTGAATTTCTGCTCAATTTATAAAATTTACCTTAACAGCAATAGTCACTCGAGAAGAATGGGGCGCAAAACCGCCTACAGACATCACAAAACTACAGACCCCAGTGCCTAACGTGGTCATCCACCACAGCTTCATCCCTGCAGCCTGCTTCGACAAAGACAGCTGCATCTCAGCTATGAGAGCTATGCAGCATATGCACCAGGATGTCAACGGATGGGCGGATATTGGATACAAGTGAGTCATCTGTAGACCTTGACATAATCATCATCTACCTTATAATCCGAGTGTGGGTACTTATATTATAGCGATGCATACACACACAAAATCAAAATTGTGATCAATCAGTATAACTGGCGCAGATAAAGAACGTATCCCGAATTGGCAACATTATTGGTTGCCTTCCTATCATATTATTACTTGTATGACATTTGAGCAGGATGTCAACAATAATGTTGCCCATTTGGGATAAGTTCTTTATTTACGGCAGTTATGGGTAGCAAAATCTGGTAATACCATGTACTGCAGTTTTTGGATCCAAGCGATTTTACTACATTTCTGGGACGTACTGATTCTGGACTCACAAATATGATGCGAAATATGTAATGTGACTTGTTTGAGTAGTCTCTAAAATAGTTCTATCTTGTCCACTTCTTGGCAAGTCGCAGTGAATTAGATGCACGTCATAAAATATGATTTATTTCATTTTATTACAACTTCCGTACCATTAGCGATGAAATAATATGTAAACATATTCATAATAGGTACAACATTTTCAATTCTACTCGCCCAATTTCAACTGGTATTAGATATGACAGTTTATGTGGAAAATGATAAGATGTGATGCCATATTTAATAATTACAACTTGAATTCCCCTTTTGGCACACTCAAATTATTTCCGAGACGGAAGTCAAATCTGGTAGATTCCGGCATGAATGACAATATCTGTAACTGTTTTTAAAATAATATTATTTCAATTTCAGTTTTGGGGTTGGCAGCGACGGGTTGGTGTACGAAGGTCGCGGCTGGAACCGACTCGGGGCTCATTCCAAGGGCTTTAACACTGAGAGCATCGGGATCTGCCTCATTGGAGACTGGAGTTGTAAGTTTTCAACATTGTCATAATGTGATGCAGTGACCTTTCGCTGCTCGAATAAGCGCTGTAATTTCAACATTACACAAAACTTTACAAGTCCCATATTCGAGAGTGACGTTGTGGGAAAGGAACATTAAGAGAGGCATTTTGCGCTGTGTAGACATGCGTCCAAAGAAGCATCTGAAGGGTATAATGAACCCACCCACACTGATCATTCATAAACTTATGTTACACCGTACTTCCACTTTTTGTTACAGCTGAGCTGCCTCCAGAAGAGCAGATGCAAGCGGCGAAGGACCTGATCTCCGAGGGTATCCGGCTCGGCTGGATCAGCCCCAAGTACAACCTGGTCGGCCACCGACAGGTCCGCGACACGGAGTGCCCAGGAGACGCGTTGTACGGGAGGATCTCCGAATGGAAACACTTCAATGACAGCATACATATGCAATTGTAATACTGTAATTGACTTTTAAAAAGGATAAAATTAAAAAGGAAAGGGGGTTCTCAAGAGTCTTTGTTTTTATTTTATTTATGTTTACCGGCCTGGATCGATTTGGAAAACCCCATTCTTTGGTAAAAAAGAGCATACTTTCCTAAGTGGTCCATTGGCTGTCAAGACAGGATCTAATATGATAATTTAATTTTGAGATATGTACCAGAATGTTTAATTTTATGGCGTTAGTAGGTACTGTACATATGAACATTGTAAATACTTACAGAAATACACGGGTCTTCTTTTTAATGAAAATTGTCTTCTTTTTACTTAACCCCCAGCGAAGCTAAGCTAACCTTTTCCTAAGACAAAGGAATTATCTATTCTTAATTTAGGAAATAGTGCCTTAGGCTCTATCCGCAATTCCGCATAGCGATTTTTGCACGCGATTTTTTTCTCGCTTCCTTTGTTCGTTTTTTCATACGAAATAAAATATAACGCGAGAATAAATATTACCTATTAGTACTTATGTTTATTTTTATTAAGTTTTTTTTACATGCTGAACGGGTGTTATAACGTTATTAATATATTGGAAGCCCTGTATGTACCGAAGCCGAGGTCTAAAGCCACCTATAGTCATGAAACTTCACACACCACACCATCTCGATTCACCTGGGTGTGCCCAAAATCCAATGACGTCACTGGGAGCGGTCACAGGAAGTCCGGCGCCGGCGCAAAGATCACCAGACGATCCTAAAGACAGATTTCGGCACTTCTTCTGTTTCATGGGATACCTTGTCGGCGTACGCCGAACGGCTAAAAAAACTCAATCCACCAAACAATCTCTGTCTCCTAAACTGTTACAGATAGGTAAACAACAACCAAGACTGACATCTCAACATCACAAGCACAGAACCATCTTTTCTACAGACAATCTTCAATGTGTCAACCATATTGGGAACAAATTCAAAAACTAACTTAGAACCTGTGGATCCTGCGAACTCTCAGGAAGACTATCGCCGTTTCCCTAATTTGTGGGAAGACCATTAATTGTGACATCACAACACAAGGAGTGGTTGCAGGAAGTCCGGCGTCGGCGCATACATCATCCAGACGATCCCAAAGATTTCGGGAGATAATCGATTGTCTATTGTTACATATCAAGGATTGTTCAGTGGCCTTGCTGGTTGAGATTTTGCTGATATGAGAGTACCTCTATAATAATAAATCGGCCCATAAATTTGCAGCAATATCGTGTTCATTATCCATAGGTTGCTAATAATGAAGATCTCTAATACAACGAAATAATTTTCCTATATCGAGGGCAATGCTAATGGTAGTAAGTTCTAAAAACTTTTCCTGTGCCTAGGTTGCCTGAAGGCAATAAGGCCGCCTAACTGTACACTTATGTGTTTAATTTTAAGTGTTTTGTAAGCATTATAAAGTCCTTTTGCTGTATAATAAAAGCATTAATGTATTGTAAGTAAAGTACTGGTTTTACACGAGGCCATAGCTTTCAGCTAACAAGACGTTGAATAATCTGAAAAACAAATCATCAAAGCCGTAAATAAACCAACCTTTGAATGTCAACAAAGTTTACGAGAAATAATAAAAAGTATTTTTGACAGAGAAATAAGTGACAGAGTTCATAGGGTTATTTATAGGTACCGGAAGTTTTTAACAACTGTAATGTTTCCTATAGCAAAAACCGGAAGTCAGTCTGCTGACTTTAAAAAATAAACGATTTCCCTAAAACTAATCAAGTTCTGATTTGTAGGTAGGTACTGACTGTTAGCTGGTTCTGTGTCATTGCCAAAAACTGTCCAAAAGTTATGGGCAGCAAGACATTTAAATTTTATTTATTCTTTTAGTACCTACTTATAAAACCCACTTGTTTCTCTACGTTACAATGTTCTACTGTCCTTGTCTAATTAGCTGTAGTGATAACAAAACAGTAGTTGCGGTACACGCGAGTCGCACGAGGAAGCTTCCAAAATAACCCGCCTGGATGCTCCATTTTATTTTCAAGCTCCGGCTCTCGCGTGCATCGCCTCGGCTACACCATTGGACTAACCCATTCTGGATAGCGTTTTTGAAAATACTAAAGTTATAGTGGGACTTCAGGGATGGACTAACAGTGAGGGTTTAAAATCGGATTTCCGGCGCGATATGGCCGGCCCAAGTGGGGGAGGCCCATGTCCAGTAGTGAACTGTTGTGGCTGTGGTAGTAGTTAATAGTAAGGCACCACTAGTTTAGAATGGCTACATGGCTAGACAGTGGGCACTTCACCATATCCACGGTAAACTCATGAATCTAACCTAGGTATTGAAAATGAGAAAATTGAAAAATTCAATTGCGACCCCCGGGACTTGAACCCGAAACTGTGGGGTACCGTTCCACCGCTCTGATAACTGAGCTACGGGCGCCTAGCGAACCCTGATGAATTCCTCAACCTCTTGATGCTCGTTTCGAAGCGAAGATTATCAATTTATGAGAATAATATAGATGATGAAAATATTAAAAATCCCAATACATTGACCTGGGTAGTTACGCGAAGACTATCATTTGAATCCTATAAATAGGTACCTAGTCAATTCCCGAATTTATCAAGCATCAGAATTAGATTCGGAATTATATCTTTTCTTTTGTGTATCTATTATCATGCATGATTCATGATTCATGGTTCATACAAGGATGACACTGAGCTGTTCATGGACTTGACGCCCCACACGATCTATCGACAATGAATAAATGCCAAACGATAAATGATAGCATATAGACGGGATATCCCAATAAATATAGTACAATGTAGAAAGTTATTTTCGTTCTTTATTAGTACTACGCATGAATCAGAATACTATTATATTGTGACTAAGAGAAGACAAGTGTTTTTTACACGTGTTTGAGTGATTTTGTGCCAATACGACAATTAAAACCTAATACAGTCATTAACTAAATGTATAACAACTAAAATAAAAATAATGTGACTAATGATTAATGTTCCCAGGAGAGAGTATATAACACCATATTTAAATAAAAAAGGTATACTCAATATGAAAGCCAAGAGAGAAATTTTATATGCATGTACTGTTCAAAGGGTTATTTGGAATAAAAAACCGGACTATCTGTTTCAGAAGCTAGCTTGGGTAGACAATATTAAAATAAGATGTTCACGCAGTACAGCGCAGAATCTTCTGCTGATTCCAAAACATAAAACCACACGCTACTCTGGATGCTTCAAGTTTAATGCTGCAAAAATATGGAATGATCTTCCTCCTCCAATGAGGAAAAAAATGTCGGTATCGAGCTTCAAAGCCAAATATAAAAAAGCTTTATTTAAAAGGCAACTTGCAGCAGAAAACTTGAAGCATGCACATTGGAAGTTATTACCCCTTAAAGATTATTTTGCATAACATAACTAAAACACACACATACACACACGCTCACTTACACACACACACACACACACACATACACACACAAACACACACACACACACACACACACACAATGGAAGAGTTTGTTAAAATACTGGTAAAATTTTAAAAATGTTTAGTTGATTTTATCCAAAGAGTAACAATTTTATGTTTTCTATTCATAATTTTATCGCATGTTTGTTTTTAAAATTATATTGTCAAGCCCTCTCCTACACTACCCCGTGTAAGATCTCAGGGAGGAGGGACTGACTGAAAATCAGCGCCGACAGGACTTGGGTCCTGTCAGCAAAAGCTGAGTCAGACCCTTTTGCCTTTTTCTTTGTAATTGTACTTAGATTAAGCTAGTTTTTTGTTGAACTTAAAGGCAATAAACATTATTTCTATTTCTATTTCTATTTCTAATGATAAATAGGCAAAAATGCACAACTGCCAATTTTAAATTTGCAAATTTCTTTAGCTCTACCTGTTGAAGTTAAAAAAATATATAAAATTTAGGTATGCATCCAAAAATTCTTGTAATTAATTAATTCTTGTATTTATTTTTGGCATACAATGGTATACTACGTATTAATATATAAACAAATAATTTTCAGAGAATATTTTGTATATGTATTTATGTGATCATAGTTGTACAAGTAACTGGTTTTTCCAAATTACAGTTTCACACCTATGGATGAACTCTCTTTCACTCTTTTTAGTTCCAGGTTGACTGGTAGAGAATAACATCAGACCTGCTTCGAATGTACGTGGCGAAAGAATTATCCAAGAATTATATATAGGGTTACATTTAATTAAGTACAAATCTCTTGAGGGTGTGATCTACTCACAAAACTAAACAACTTTGGTTTAAAAAATATGAAAAAAAAATTTGAACCACCCATACAAAAATGCTGAAAAAGTGTGTCACTTTTTTTTTTTTTTTTTTTTCATTTATTTATTTAAAGGTACATAAATTTTTAATTAAGTTTACATCTCGCCAAACTGTTAATCAGTTTGTTGGCGAGCTATGCGCTCAACATATACTAGGGCACAACTTATGTACCTACCTTAACCGCTAACTTATCTAATATTACATTTAAACCAAAACTTTTTTACTAAAGTAACTTAATCTAATTGTATCCGTTCTAGCAGGTATTTTTTTAATTTTGTTTTTAGTACTGTTTTAGTATATTTGTCACCAGTTCGTAGCCAATCTATTTCATTGTATAGTCTTGGTACCATATATTTGTTGGTTCTCCCTCCATAATAATTTACACATCGTGGTTGCACAAGTTTTCTTTCCCGCATACTTCTGGTGTTATGCTCATTAGTTACTAGGCTTTTATGCTCATCACTGTTATAATGCGCTATAGCAAGCAGGTATTTTACTTTTAAGTCTACAGGCAAAATTTTACATAATGGGTATAGTTCGTCGTAATTGCTACATCTATTTTTGCTTCTTCTATCTACTAGGTACTTGATGAGCCTTGTCTGTAAGTTTCTGACATCTTTTAGGTACGTACAGAAGGTGCGACCGTAGATACTTAATGCATAACTTATTAGGGAGTCCGCCAACGCATAATACACAACCATCATAGTGTGTCTAGTCACTACTGCCTTTAAGTGATAGAATTGACCCAACACACTTCTTTTTGGCACAACTCTTCAATATGTAACTTAAAGCTAAAGTTACAATCTATAAGAAGGCCCAGATACTTAAACTTAGTTACATATTCTATTTCGGGGCAATTACATGCTATCTTATGGCTATGGAAACAGTCGTATGTATGACCCTTAATTCCTATCTGACTATAATTAGTCGATTTCGCTACTTTATTGTACGGCGAAAACATATGTATGCATTTGGTTTTTTTTACATTTATTATGATGCCGTTGTCATGGGCCCATTGCACAATATTGTCAAAATCTTTCTGTAGCTTCGACTGAGCTTCATTTATATCTTTTGATTCGTACAACAGACACATATCGTCGGCATACATTAAAACCTTGCAATCCTGCACAACATTAACAACGCTATTTACCAGCATAATATAGCCTATTGGGCCAAAAACAGATCCGGTTGGCACCCCGAGCGTGACGCATGCCTCTTCGCCCTCAGTTCCACTAACAACTGTTCTAATCGTTCGGTTTGTTAGGTAGTTTCGGAACCATGCGTTTGTTGGCCCGCCAATGCCACACTCCTCCATGGCTAGTAAAAGGACATTATGGTCTAGCGTATCAAAGGCCTTCTTATAGTCTATAAATAGGCCTAGTACTTGCTTACCGCTATCCAGACTGCAATTAATTAACTCAGAGAAATGTTCCAAGGCCGAAGTCGTACTGTGGCCTCGTCTGAATCCATGTTGACAGTCGGTCAAGATTGAATATTTCACTTAGTATGGGAGGTCCAAATTTGTTTTTCATAATTCGAAGTTTTGTGAGTAGATTACACCCTCAAGAGATTTGTACTTAATTAAATGTAACCGTATATATTAAAAAAAAAAAACAAATACAAAATTTTATTCTGCTCAACGAACTGAAACCATTGAAAATTTCAGCGAGCCCGGCCGGAGCGACACACCTATTTATGCTCCAGAGATTCGTTCACAGAATTCGAGTTTAGTCGCGAAGCACGCGCGATCGCGTCGCGTCCCATCTGCCGGATTTCATACCGCCCACCCCACCGTGCTTTCCGAAACCCGCCTACGAGACATGGCCGCCTAAACGCCCGGTTCAGTGTTTGTGCTTGGTGTGATAATCAAAGTGAGCCTGTGTTTATTTCCAGAGTAATACTTCACATCGCACTGCACACTAACAAACATACGCGGGATAGTTAGAGATAATAGATTTCATGTGAAAGTAGGTGTATCTATTTGAAGAGTAGAGGGTCAGCCAACATTATAAAGTTTCTAGGTTTTCGCTGGAAAATTGTACGACAAAGTAATGAGCAAGTACGAGTTTTTTTCTTAAGTGAGATAACAGAAAAGTTTTGTCTGTTTACATTCATATAATTATTTTTACTAAACATTTTTCTTTCTTATGAGCACATATTCCTATCTATATTAAGAGCACCGAATTAATTTAGTAAGTAGGTAAACAATAAGCTACTTTATCTACAGGTATCTAATTATTAACAAAAAATACTTTAAGAACGCTATGTGTAAAAATAAACAAAAATGTACTAGGTATTGGAAAATTGTGTAAGTAGTAGGAAAACACTAGGGAAATTTTTAGTAACGCGAACTCTAATAGGTACTTGTTACATTTTTAATCTAAAACTTAGATACTTGATTAGGTACAAAAAAGATTTTCTAAATGCCTGTAAAATATGCTTGAACTTGAAAGTCCTGCTCTTATCACATTTTCAGGTTGGTTTTTATATACAGACAAGACTGTTCAATAAGTCATTTCAGTGCAAAATGCAAAAATGGCTTTCAGGCCTTCAGATAGTATTTTGGCTTAACCCTATTAATTTGACCACTTTGATGAGTTTTACAACCTACAGTTTTCGTCAACTGATCCAATATCTCTGTTTATGATTTTATTATCATCATAAAACGACCAAATTGTTTTAACTTCCGTGCCACGTGTAAACTTCTAAACACATCTTATAGACACGCAAAACCTTATAAACAAAAACATTTGGTTGTCATGAGGGTTTAAATGTCAGTAGTAAAAGCATTGCCAAATACCGAAGAAATTAAGTACAAAGCAAAGACACAACTAATTTGTGGCAAAGAACAGGTTTAAAAAACAAAAACTTAGGTATGTGTCAAATCGTATGGAATCAGGTGAAGACTTTTAGTGTGTAGGTAGAGCGTGTAGGTAGAGCTTAGTGTGGAACAAATCTATTATGTCACGGGTCGCGTGCTAGCCTAAAACACCCTTGTAAGTCTGTTAAAGCACTGCTTTGTAAACATTATAGTAAAGTCACGTATCGATTCTAACGAACATGTCCTTTACTCTCAGTCAAATCAGTAATTGTATTAACTACGATTATCTTGACTAGA